TCCCCAGGTTCAGGCAGTCTCTTTGCTCACAGGACTTAGGAGCCTCTTGGAGAAATCTGACAGCAAGGAGGGCTACAGGAGGGGCACTGTCACACAACTGGAGGCTGAGCAGTACAGGCTGGAAAAAGAGAAAATTAATAGCAGGCATTGTATGTGTAAGATCAGATTTATTCACGAGCATAAGAGGGAGACCTTCATAGATTTCTGGAAATACTTGTCAGTGGCTGGGGAGGGTCCTACACAAGAGTGGGGCAAGAGGCAATAAAGTTCTAATGGCCCCTGGCCGCTCTGAGCTGGGAAAGATAAGGCACATACAGATTTTCTTTGGTAACTTTCCTCTCACTGCCCCACCCCCAGCAAATTTTCAGTAAAGACTCAAAACTGAAAAACATTTCTTCAAAGGTGTGCAAATGTCTTCAGCAAAGATCAGAAACTCCCAGCAGTGCAGAGCTGCAAGCCACACCACATATTCTGCTTTGAACTGAGGGTAGAAGGAGAACGCCCTGTGAGACAGTACAGCTCCTGGAGAGGATAGAGCAGGTCAGCTCTCACTGTGTGCACCAAACTGGCTGTCCCCAAGCACTCCTAATCTGCATCTAGTCCCAGGCAGCCCATGAAGACCCAAGTCTTCAGGTGGTCCTGGAGCACCGTGGAAACCCTCCAGCCTGCCTCTGGAGTGCAGCTGCAGAGACTGGCCATTTGTTCCTTAGGAATAATGACCGCATACCACTCTGTCTTGCCTTTCAGCAGAAGGGCAGAATTTCAGCTGCTCAACCAAAGGCTATTTTTCTGGCTTCCAAGTCCTTGTCCAGTCTGAATAAGCAGAATGGAGCCAGGAGTACAAGTGTATTGAGGTAGTTCCAATGAAGCCATGTGCCCCAGCTCTTTGCAAAATCACATCTGGTTTTATTTTGCAGAGTCCAAGGAAGGTCCATTTCTGTGTAACCAGGGAGCATTTGGGAGAATCAGTTCTCAGCTTACAAACAGGAGGGCTCCAGGGTGGAGCCACTTTTGACTGGCGCTATGGGGTTCCCTCCACCAGGGACACTGGCCCGACTGTATACCAGCGGGATTAGTATTGCCAACTGGGCTTGGCCAGACCCCATCTCTCTAATCAACTGGTGATTTCCCAGTTGAAAGCTTAGAAAAGGAGCTGGTCTGTTCCCTCAAGGCCCACTAAGCTGTGAAACTGCCAAACAAGAGCTTGGGTATCCCTTTGGCTCAGAGTCATCTCTGTGAGTCTCAGGGGTTCTGGATTATTCTTTAACCTCACCAACACACATGTATATACTCAAGGGGGCTGTGTTGAGTTAAAGCACTTATTTTTTTCTTAACATGTCCTTTATTGAATATGGCTGGTTATTTTCAATAGTCTTTGCCAATGTATAAGAAACAAGATAAGTTCTACACCTTTTAAAGCATTTAGTTGATATATAAAAGGAAAGAGGGGGCTTGATTCAACAGTGAGGCAAACAGACCACAGAACAAACCAGGTCTCAGGGAGCTAGGAACTGTAAGGTTCCCCAGGCCCAGGGATAAGCCAACAGGCTAGGCTAGGAGCATTTTGATTCCACTGCCTCTTCTGGGCTTAGTGAAGACAAGCTGTTCTACAAAAATAAGCAGCAGTCAAGAAGGGTCCTTCTCTGTTCTTGTCTGACTTAACTTCCATTTGGGCATCAGCCTAATTAAATGCAGAAAAAAGCAGGTCACCATCCATTGTCAGGCAGCTTTTTTTCCTTAGCCCTGCTGGGAGAGGCCTTCGGCCAAAAGCCAAGTCCTGTAAGGGCTCAGTGTCTCTGTGATCTAGGTCTAGATGGCCCACTCTGAAAGGACCGCTTTGAAAAGAGGCCAATCTCTATGCAGCCTCTGTGGTCTTCCTGGGGCTATGCATATGTTACATCACCCCCTGACTTCTAGGGGCACCCCAGTTATTTCTCAGCAGAAGTCCTGTCTCCAAAACTGGACCTGGAGGTTTTAGGTTGGTTACTTTTCCCAAGCTGAGACTTGCATTTCTGAGCGACATCCTTTAGAAATTCCTAAATAAAGTATAAAATGATGAGGAGACCAGATAGCAAAGTTCTTCAAAACGTTGGTAAGAGGATTGCAACTTGTATTCAGCTGCTCAGGGGCTGTGCTGCACGGTCCCTACATGACTAAAAGGAAGTGTCCTTTTCTCCCATGTGAACAGGTTGAAGTTGGCTAGTTTCACTGAAAGAACATTTCTGTTCATCCTCACCAGGAATGCCATGCATTCCAGAAAGCCTGAGCAGGGTTGATGCCTTGGCAGCTTATTGGTGGGGGACATCTGAATGATTCCAGGAAATCTGTGTGGAGCTGTGGTTCTCCATCAGGGACAGGCCTGGGGCTGATTCCTCTTCAAGCTCCTCTGATGCTCTGCATGTATCAATGCTGAGCAGATGTGAAGTGAGGAGTCAACTCAGCTTTGGGAGTTCCTGGGCAGTTATGAGGCTGGACAGAGTCCCCTGGGTTCAGGAAGCTCTGCCAGTCTCATTCAAAGGAACTGGGAGGAGGACATTCTTAGGGAATCAGACAGAATTCTCATAGGGTGGAGGTCAGTGTTTGGCTGCTTCTTGAGTCCAGTTTGTTGGCTGTCAGAGCCCAGAGACCCCTATGAAACCCTGGCCAGCTCCTAATGACCCTGTGGCAGTGAGGAAGCGGTGCCTCCAAGGTGTCCCCTGAATCTGCTGTAGGTTCCAATGCTGGCAGCTTTGGTGTCTCCATGGATCCACTACTAGACTGTGGATAACCTAAGCCCTTTCAAATTCACCCTCTGTAGGTGCCACTGCCAGCCCTCTTGGGCACTGGGGTCTAGGAGGCCCAAGTGGAGACAGCTCCCAAGCGCCTCAAAACACACCTAGGGAATGGCTGCCCTGCCCAGCATTCTGCTCCCTCAGTCTTGTCCTCTATCTCCTCCAGGTTGATTACTTCAATAGTCACCACCTTCTCTGAGCAAGTGCCAACTTCCTGGACACCTTTTCCAATCTGACAAAGCTTGAGGAAGTGTTCTCAGGATCCATCTGTGAATATCCAGCAAGCAAATTCCCTGCACATAGTTGAGTTCTCCCACTTTGAGAAACCAACTCTCACAACTCCAGAAAGAATTTTTGACTCCTCCTCTGATGCCCAAAATCATGCACAACCTAGGATATATAGATGGGATCAACAGGAGTTAGGAAATGTAACACATTATGTCCCTGCATTCATTTGTCCAGGACTTTGTAGACATTTGTGCATTGTGGATCTTGTAATCTAGTTCCACATGCACTGAATGAATGAATGATCTCCTAGCACAAAAACACACAGTAGACTGTATTCTCTATGGAGGGAAGATTCTGACTGCCCGTTCACTGTTCACTACCTTGTACTGGCTGTGTAACTGAGAGAAAGCCAAGTTCTTCTCTTTCCTTACCTGAAAGTGATGGACAGACAGGAGGAAGGACTGAACTTGACCAGCAGATCTACCTGCTCTAAGTTTTGTTCAACAAGGGTGAATATTCTTTGTTTTTGCAAGGATATGGAGGTGGCTGCTATTATGGGACAGCACAGAGGCCACCTGTGCCCAAGAAATCCAGAGTGTCACCCCTCTTCAAAGTTAGCACTTGCTGGGCCTGCCAAATAGCTCAACGGATTAAGGCACCTGCTTAGGCAGATGCAGGGGAGGGGAGTTCGATCCGAGACCTGCCCCTGGGAAGCGATGAGACAGGGACTGAGACTGGTCATGGTGGCACGCACCTATAATCCCAGCACTTGGGAAGCTGTAAACAGGAGGATCACTATGAGTCCGATCTACTCAGTGAGACAAACAAAAAAACAAAGCTAGCACTTGCTGAATAGGTCTAGCAGAAGCTGTGGCTCTGGGTCCCAATTTGAGGACCTATCAGAACCCTCAGGAAAATGAGCTGATTTTCTGTACTTGCTGATGGTGGATATCTGTCTGAGAAAGGACACTGTGGGGCTGAACTGTCCCCAAAGAACTGGGTTTGGGGACAGTTCAGCCCCACAGCCAGTGTCTACTAAAACGAATTCCCACTCAGGCAAGAATTCTGTCAAACCAAAGGGAAGGGGCGACATCCTCAGTTCGTTTTTTTAGAAGGGAGCCCCTGGAGGCTTGGGGCAGGATCAAGAGTTCTGGCTCCCACTAGAGGGCCCCTGCCCCCCCCACCACCACCGCCGGTGGGCAGCCTGCCAAACTAGTCCGTCCTGAAGGTCCGCCTCTGGGCCCCCCCCGCAGGACTTCCCTTCTTGATGTGGGCCCAGCCTGTTCAGCAGCACACCCAGGCGAGGCAGCGATCGGCGTCCCCACCCCCACCCTGGTCCCCACCCCCACCCTGGTCCCGAGGAGTAACAAGCAAGGCCTCTTTCCTCCGGGGCAGATGTGAGCGCCAGAGCCCGCCTTGCTGAGCCAACAGGCGGCTGGAGCCATACGAAGCGCATTAACTATTAATAATTTCCAGTTGTTTGCTTGCTCCCCTAGGCCTCTGCAGGCAGGGACTGGCTCCCTTGGACTGTCAGCTCTGGAGACATTAGCGCCTGCTGGGGCTCCACTGGGGAGGGGCAAGGGGTCACTGCGTCCCCCGGGCCCAGGCTTGAGAGGGGTTTACGCATCTGCTCGTGGCGGGGTAGGGAGGCAGGCCCGGCAGAAAGCTGGGCCTGCCCGTGGCGAGGTTTGTACTGTGCCCCTCGCGGCAGCAATTGGCGCCCAAGGCGAGTGCAGCGCGGGCGGCGCACCGAGGGAGCGCAGCGGCCCCTGGCGCCCGGGTTGGTGGCTGGGCCAGAGGAGTGGGC